GTTATATAGAAAGCAAATGAGAAGATGATATATTAAAAAAAAAATTGGAAAGTGAGAAAAACAAAAGAGAGACAATAACATGAAGAAAAGTCATTAGACATTTGGTTGAGGAAACTATACCTTTGAGGCGAGGCAAGTAACCTATTTTAATCTCGAGTGTCGAAGCAATCAAACTTGGGAGAGCCTTTATTTGTTGAAATGTAAACTTGTGATAGTGAGATTAATCCAAACTATGAGAGGGTGATGACTACAGCTATGTAAATTCCTAGTCTTAAAATAGAACCCCGGGATAATTGAGTGAAAAGAATAAATTTGGAGGGGTTGTGTATCTCTCGAGCGAGTAAGGATACATTTGACCACTTGGGGTCGGGACTCAAATTCATCATGAACCTAATATGTTGGCATGAATTCACACACACACGTCAAGCACGCATTTAACTCCAATGCATTGAGCACGAGTCATAAGGTTGAAGTCTTGTTTTAGTCAGTCATGAGTCAAATTAAACAAAGTGCATGATTAGAGCTAAACTTTGTTGGTGATTCACATTTTTGTGATATGACTTGGGGTCGGGACTCAAATTCATCATGAACCTAATATGTTGGCATGAATTCACACACACACGTCAAGCACGCATTTAACAGGTAAAAGTTGATGTTATTTTTGTACTGATAAATTTTCATAAAGTCAAATACTCAGTTCAATCTTGAGCCATGGCAGGGTATTAAGCCATGTTTAGTCAGAATTAAGTTACTATCTTATTTGAGGACAAACAATAGTTCAAGTTTGGAGGGTTTGATAAGTGTGTTTTTGCACACTTATTTAGATCACAAATATGACTTTACGACCAAAATGTTTAAAATGTGATTTAATCCCGTTGAATTCATTCAATGTAGGTGTTTCTATGAAAATGGTGAAATTCAGAAGAAAAGAGCCGAAAAATGACTAAAATGGAGCAAAGGGATAGTTCAGGGATCAAAGTGCAATTATCCAAAAGATGGTCTGAAGGACAAATCAAGGAAGTGAATGAGCTAAGTACCAATTTGGTGATATTATGAGAT